TAATACATAGTCTAACTGTAGACCACATAAAGATTGATTGGTTCTATTTCCTTGCAGTGCCATGGCTTGAGTCCAGGACAGTGTACATACTAGATGAGGGTCTATTACTGAACTACAACCTCAGCTCACATGAAGGGCTCTGAGCCCACCTTCCTTACCGGCCCTTTCTGCTCTAGATTGAACCCAGATCCTTGTGCGTGCAAATCATGCATTCTGGCATAGAGCTGCACCCTCCCCCAAACCTTCCCATACGAGTAGTGTGGTGTGACGATGAGTTGTGACTGGGGGAACACGTTCAGTTACAGAGTGGGCAATGAGCTGAAACAATCAACATGCACATGAAGCTGCTTTCAATGCAGATTTTCTCAAATCCTTAGGACAAATAAGCTAAGCATAACCATTCCCATCAAATAGCTATGGCAACTGAAAATTTGAAAGGGTAGGTAAACTGCACAAGGTCACAGAGTTGCTACGTATTCAGTAAAATTATTGCTTCAAACTTCATTTGACAAACACTTTCTATATTCTAGGCCCCATTAGGCTTCTTGAAAGTGACAGCTATATTTCAAAGAGCACCTAAGATACATCCCAGCACTTAGAAGCCTCCTGCATCAATGTCAATTCCTGGTTTATTGATTTAATATGAATATATTTATGTCACAGTATTTTGGAGGATCGAAAATCTGACAACATTTTGCATATTTCATTTTCTGTTTTTATTTTAAATGAATAAATGCCAACTCAACAAATGCTAGAATTATAATTTTCTTAACATATTTTAAGCAATGTCGACTAATCTATCTGAAAAGACAAGATTTGACTGTGTCTCATTTAGAAAGAAAAGTGAAGCTCCAACTTACTATCTCCCTTCAACAGGCTCAATATCAAGGGTGTTAACTCCACTGCAGTGGATTCTTTCAACATCTCTGTCTTTGTTCAGCTCCAGTGACAGGACCCTTCAAAATTAAGAAGAGAAAACTTAGTAAGAAGAAAAAATATAAGCAAATTCCTTATTTCCCCAAGATTACATAGATTACCACAAATGTTGCAAGTCTTTAGTCTTACCATATTTAAAGGTGTTCAGATTTGTAAATGTCAGCCTCTAAAACAAGATACCAACAACCACATGCAAACATTTCACTGAAACATTACTTTAAATTTCATTTAGAGTTTAAGTTCTTAAAAAGGTATCTATGGATAAACTTTCAAGAAAAGTTAAATTCTGATAAACTTGACTGAGGACACCCAGTGGATAAACGTTTGAATTACACATTTAAAAGAGTCTCTAAGGCTGTAGAAATGCAAACTATAGTCAACACAGCAGTTTAAACGAAGTGAATTATTTTCTCTTCTCTTTAGTGCCTTGATTGTTTTTTTTTTTTAAACCTGTCTTTATTCTTCTGAACTCTGCCTTGGGTCCCAACATGAAATGTGTGGTATGACAGTAACCAGAGTTCCAGAAAGTTGGGCAATCATAGCAAAGACGGAGATCAGGAAGGCCACTTCACAGAACAGTTTATGGACTCCAGGACTCACTCTCTACTGGAACATGCAGAGATCTGATCCCAAATACCCTGCAAAAGACTCTCCAGACTCAACCAAGTGCTACTTGGCCACTGCCTGCCCAGTGAGTGGCATGCCCCTGGAGACCTAAAAGGATTTGAAACCACAGCCCACTCTGATATACCACAACTAAATGCTGACACCTAAAGACAGCATTAAAGCAACCAAACTGTCAATCTGTAAAGGAAAAAAAAATGATTTCAGTGACAGCATTTCCCCTTCAAAATCTGTGCGGCCATCAGGTGTTATGTTATGTTTGAATAGGCATGGCCCCAAAGACTCATGTGTTTGAATGCTTGGCTATAGGAAGTGGCACTATTAGGTATGGCCTTGTTGGAAGAACTGGGTCACTGTAGGGTTGTGCTTTGAGGTCTCATATATGTTCAAGTTACACTCTGTACACAGTTGCTTCTGATGCCTGTGGATCAAGATGCAGAACTCTCAGCTCCATCTCCTATACCATGTCTGCTTGCATGCCACCATGAAGAAAATGGACTAAACCTCTGAACTGTAAGCTAGCCCCAATTAAATGTTTTCTTTTATAACAGTTGCCATGGTCATGATGTCTCTCTACAGCAATAGAAACCCTAATTAAGACAGAAGTCCTCTTTAAAAAAAAAAAAAAAAAAAAACCTTAGCAAGTCACGTTTTGATAGAGGGCAATGAAATAATATGGAAAATAGGGATATTCATAAAGAAAAGAGCAAGAGAAATGGTGAGTATCTGGAATAAACAGAACAGACCATTCTTTTCCTTAAAATACGCTTGATGATTATAAATAATAATTATAATGCTGTCGGGTGGGGTATATACTGTTTGCAAACACAATGACATATGGCAACAACATAGCATAGAGAGTAAAGGTTACTAAAGTTTTTGACATTTCAAATGAAGCAGTAAAACTCCAAGTAAATGAGGAAGCTATACAGCCACTAGTATATATGTATATGCATTAGGTATACACATTACATACATCAAGAGTCAAAATTATGGCAGATACATTTAAGATGGAGTGCTAAATACTGTTCAGATAAACCAAATGAAAGCATTAAAGGGGAACAAAAAGGCTGGGGAGCACTTAGTAGACTCGTTATTTTTTCTTTTAAGTATTTTTAGATTTATTTATTTTTATGTATATGAGTGTTTGTTCTGCCTATCTATATGTGCACTGCATGTATGCCTGATGCCAGTGAAGGCCAGAAGAGGGCTCTGGATTCTCTGAAACTGGAGTTACAGATGGTTTTGAGCCACCATGTGAGTGCTAAAATAGAACCTAGGTCCTCCACAAAAGCAACAATAGCATGTTTTTTATTATTATTATTATTATTATTATTATTGTTATTGTTATTATTATTATTATCTACAGTGACTGCCCCTTAAGCAGTGCTTCCGCTGCCATGGCCTCAGCCTGAGGGGAATTTGTTACTGACTCTTTCAAAGCTACTAAGGGAACTTTTCTAAATCTACAGCACTCACGATTCAAAGGCTTGGGTGGAATTCTGCTCCCTCAGAGAGGCTGAATAGCAAGTAGCTCCCTTTCTCCCTTGGCAGGCATCTTGCAAAAAAAAAAAAA